GTTTTTCTCCCATGCAGGCTGTTAACACTCCCTACAGAGGAACTCTGGGTCGTGTCCTTTCCTGGGAGGAAAGAAGTGCAATGGGAATTTCTGGGGGTGGGAGGGACCTGGGAGAGGCTAAGCCTGAGTGGCTCTGGCTGCCCAGAGAAATTATGGACGCTCCATCCATGGAAGTGTCCAAGGAAAGGTTGGACATGGCTTGGAGCACCCTGGGATAGTGGGAGGTGTCCCTGCTCAAGCTGCAGATCATCTTTAAGGTCCCGTCCAACCCAAACCATTCTTTGACCTGGGATTTTGTCCTCCCACCCCGCTCATCCCACCCACGTCTCCCTCCAGTGTGAGACCATTCAGACGTCGATCGCCGACGCGGAGCAGCGTGGGGAGGTGGCCCTCAAAGACGCCCGGGACAAACTGACCGAGCTGGAGACAGCCCTGCAGAAAGCCAAGGCCGACATGGCCCGGCAGCTCCGGGACTACCAGGAGCTCATGAACGTCAAGCTGGCCCTGGACATYGAGATTGCGACCTACAGGAAGCTGCTGGAGGGCGAGGAGTGCAGGTGGGTGGGATRCAGCACGAATCCAATGCATCCTGATCAATCAATGGGAAAAATGTGTCCCATCATCTTCATAAAACATTAATGGGGTTGCTGTGAGCTGCAAATCATGGCTGTGCCAGTGGACCAATCCTGGCTTCATGGATGCTCCATCTCTTTCCCTTGCAGGATGTCTGGAGAGTGCCCGAGCTCCGTCAGCATCTGTAAGTACCATYCCCACGGGAGCGCGGCGGGCTGGGATCGGTGCTCCCAAAATTCACGGTGGCATCAGAGCTAACCTGGCGCCTTCTGTTCCTCTCTGCAGCCGTGGTGGGCGGCAGCAGCTCTGTGGGAGGTGGATACGGCAGCGGATTGTGCCTTGGAGGAGGAGGAGGAATTGGCTTTGGAAGCGGAAAAGGCAGCTGCAGCGCGGGCGGAGCTGGTTTATGCTTCAGCCTGGGAGGGGGCGGATTTGGTGCCGGGGGTGGATTCGGCTCCCTGGGCGGGGGAGCTAACTCGGTGGTGGTGGGGGGATCTGGCACCATCCTGAAGAACAGCAGCTCCATCTCCRCTGGCCGGAGGCCGTAGGAGAGGGATCGACCCCCCCTTGGCACCCAGAGGAGAAAGGGAGCGAATGGCACGATGACCCCCCCAAAATGAGCAACGGGCACTGATGGAACCTGAAACCTCCCCCAAATGATGGACACTGACAGCACCTTAAACCACCACYCAAACTGCGTGCGGGGGACAAACAYGGCCAAATCCATCTGCTGAGGACTGAAATTCCCAGCGGCAGCTGAGAACAGCTCGACCCCTCGTGCCCCCCTCCAGCTCAGATCTCCTTTGGGAGTGGGACCTGCCCGCTGATGGGGAGCCCCAAACCTGGCTGGGATGAGCCTGTGGAACAGCACTCTCGGAGGGAGAGGCGCCCAGCACGGGCAGGAGCAGGGATGGATCTGAGTGGGGCAGGAATCCTCGGCTTCTCTCAAGCTCCTGTGCTGGATCCAGCCCTGGTGCGATTTTAATCAGCGCCTCTCATCAGCCGCAGCTCCAGCTCCAAAACAGGAATTTCCTCCTGGTGCCTCAGCCCAGATGAAGATGTTTCTCACCCCACTGACTTTTAATTTGCTTTTCCCCCCCAAGTTTCACTCGTGCTGTTGTAAAATGTTTGTTTTTACTCAGGGTTCACCTTTTCCTTGGGACCATGGGATCGTGTGTGTTTGCTCAAGCCTTTCTCCTTGGCATGTGCCAYCCCCCAATAAACACGAGAGGCAGAAACCTGGTGTGGTTTTCTTCCCGACCAAAGAGTTTCGTGTTGTGACAAGACTCGTCTCCTGACGAGATCTGAAAGCGTTTCCTGACTTTCTCCTGCTCTTTGAAGACTGAATTTAAAGGAACTCGGGTGAAAGTGCAGCCAGGGCTCCTCTCACCGTTCTCTGTCTCCAAAATGTGGRGGGTTTGTGACTTTGGGGGTGTCCCTGGGGAGGTTGTTGGGATGTCAGGTGCGGGGTGACAGTGACACAGTTGGGTTTGTTTTTGGTGACAGCCCTGGGAATGATTCCATTCCTGGCAGAGAGACAGAGGCAGCCCCAGGATCCTTCTCTCTGCCTTTTGGGGTCTCAGGAGGTGGCAGAGACTGCTGTCCCCACACCGTTCCCACCAGATCCGAGCAGACTTCCACACTCTGTGGATTTTTCCCTTCCTCCTCCTCTTCCTAAGCCCTTTCCGTGCTGGAGTCAGCCAATGTGGGATGTTCCCCAGCTATCCCACCTCTCTGCGGCCACTGACCACACCACTGCCCACTCTGTCACCCCAGGACTGCGGTGCCACCGCAGGAGCTCCCAGGACACCCTTTGCACAGCTCCGAGTGCTTTAGGAGCATCCTACCATGGTTGGTGTGGGAGAGGGAAGGGTGGTCATCACCCCTCCAAAAACTTCGGAGTTAATTCCTCGTTATCCATGATTTTGGAGCCAGCCCTGCAGCTTTTCCTGCTGTCTGGACTCACCAGGGACCCATGGATTGCTCTTAAGCATCTCCAAAAGTTAACTGAGGCCGTGGGAAGAGAAAGACCTTTCCCCCTACTCCACCAAACCCCACCTTCTCTCTCCAAACACCGAATATTTGGATAAATTTCGGTCCCCAAACTGCTGCTGTGGTTTGACCTCTTGCTCAGGAGACTTCGAATCACATTCCTGGCCAACCGCACGCAGTCTGTGTTTGGGGTGACTCATCCCATTTCTCCCATGCTCCCAGTTCCCAGCTGGTAAAGGCTGGAGACATCCAGAACCAGCAGCGACAGGCAGGGTGTCACAATGGAATGTCACAACGCTGCCAGCACRGGCTTGTCACTGCTTGGGTGGGGACACGGTTTGGGCGATGCTTGAACATTCGGGGAGTTGTAAAAGTGACCTGAAGTGGTGTTGAATGAAAAGGCAGCGACTTCCCTTGGAGTCACCCCAATCCCTCGGAGTCACCCCAATCCCTCGGAGTCACCCCAATCCCTCGGAGTCACCCCAATCACTTCGAGTCACCCCAATCACTCCGAGTCACCCCAATCCAAACCCGTTTCCAGCGGTGACTCCCAAGGAGAGACAAAGGGTTTCTCCAGGAGCACAAAGGCCATCGCTACAACAAACACACACCCAAATCCCTCCCCTTTCCTTCCTGGGATAGCACCAGCAGCGAGGGGAAAATCCTCCCGAGCCGGACACAGAGGTGCCAAAATTCCTGCCTTTTGT